GCGTTGAATAAGAAGCATGGTGGAATTTATCCACGGGATAATCCATCAAGGAGTTCTTATAAGCGTTTTAACCTCGGGTTTGTCATAGAAAATTCCTGTGTACTTGGAAGCAGCTTTAATGCCCCTAGGGCATAACTAGCTTCCACCTACCAAAATGTACACTGTATATAGAAACTAGATAATCCACTCTGCTCTTTGAAATATAAGTTTTCAAATACCATAGACAAAAGTCATGCATATTTAAGGACGCCTACCAGTGCAAAAAGTGCAAAATGAATGGTTCCATCAATGACATTAAAGAAACCTTGCACTCTGAATTAGATATCACATCGATCCCTTTAAAAACAGTCTATATGACTTAAAGATCTAAAAATTTAAATCATGCTTTTTGAGGATCTCTGTCTCTTGTATCTTGAGATTGATTTATTTATATTCCCGAATCCTTCTTTTTTCAAATTATTTTTATGTCGGGTTATATGGTCCTAAAAGTGCATTAATTTTTGTAATAAGTTTACATATATCCTTGAGCTTTTGCAATTTAACATATATCTCTTGCGAACTAATTGACCTCAATCAATCGTAACTTTACACTTAAATCATATTTAACATAATAACTATTTAAGATCAAATTTACCCTTACACAGTTTTGTGCTTCTCCTCTCTAATCTCCTTTGTGCCTTTCCCCTTTTGTATTCACTTTCAGTGATCATCCACTATTTCTGATATTTATGGTCTCAAATCATATAATAGGTAGATTGGTCGACAATAAAAGAGAGAAAGAATAAAAAGGGGGAATTTGCCTTAAAATAGATTAAGCTTTGCTTTAAAAAGACCAAACGAGTATCATCAATAAGAAAAATGGTTGTAGAAGTTTAACTACCTTGAATATCAAATTAAATCAATGCCATAAAACCTTTAAAAAAAACTCAGTATCTTGTCCTAGATTACAAAAAAGCAACTATTATTTCCTGATCTCAGAGAAACTTTAGTGCTAGAATGTCAATTTTATGTAGGAAAAGTAGGGCCGTAAGCATATCCCATATTTCCATGAAAATGATATACAGCAACTAGTTGCTACCACATCAGATACTTGTCTCTCTCACTTCTTTACTTCCTTTTTGCTGAACACACTATTAACTTTTGATAAAGTCTGATACAATGCAGTATGTTGAAACTTATCAGGTAAACTTAAATGAGACCCACCACGACCATGAGAGGGGTGTTAAGGACACTTAGATACACTGCTGTTCTTAGATATGTAAATAGGTCTTGTAGATATTATCACTTAATTAAAAAAGTGATACTCAGTTCAAGGAACCCAAAAAAAATTGTTGTGTTCAAATTGTTACAAAATATATCTTTGCAACTTGATGTAGCGGATCACAATTGTGCTTCGAACAACAAAACTTAGGTTCCAACTACAGAAGATATATCTAACCTATATTTCCTAAGGCAGATGTTTCCCCAAAATGTAGATCTTATTTCCAAACGAAACAACATCTCCTCTAGGTTATTGAAAAGAAAATGCCATCAACAGCTTACATTCAAGACAGATGACATCAGGCTTGAATAAGGCACCATTTGATGCTTGTAACGCCAATAATTATGAAGTAGAAACAATGAATAGCGATATAATATGCAGTGCACAAGATGATGAAAAACTAAACGTTAATTGGAAAATTTCACCCTCAAATACCTCGCAATGTCCAGTGCGAAATTGACAGCTGTTGAGGGGCTTAGTGAACCCTTCTCCTTCAGGTACTGATGAAGGTCACCCTAAGGGGGAACAGTGAAGAAATATTTAAGAGTGCATTTCTTCTGGCCTGCAAATATTTGGTCAAATAGGCATAAGCATTCATACCCCACGTAGAAATTCTGTAATTAGCATGAGAGGTTTCCTTTCTGTTACTGCTCCAAGGAATTGGACAATATTGGGATGTCTCAACTTCACCAACATATTGACCTCGTGCCTGAAGTCCAGGCTGAATCATGAGAACATTATATAAGTAATTGAAATAAATTGGATTATCATTCCTGCAATAAAAGGTAATAGCCTTTTATCTTCATACTTATCTAAAATCATCAGACTGTATAGAAAAAGTGCATTATAACAAGATAATTGTCTGAAGGCGAATTAGCAGTGTGAATAAAGCAATTTTCATACTGCAATTACTTAATGTATTTCTTCCAATATTTTCCATCGAGCAAAGGTTGACAGTTCTATTTTCGTTACAACTTACAAGAAAGGAAAACAATTAGATGAATATAGCATGTGCTTGAGCATATTGAAGTTAATAAACATACACCACCAATTTATCCTCTGATAAAGATGGAAGAATGCGTTTGACTGCTACTGGTGTCCCACGCCATGAGGCCCTTAAAATCTCACCAAATGAACCCTGTAAAATGAACAGCTATTAATACTATAATATTTAAAAAAAATCACAGAGCATATTGTAAAGAATATCTGAGAGAAGTTTGACATCAAAAACAGGACCTTTCCAACAATAAATGCAGTTGAGAGATCTAACTCAGATGGGTCAATCTCCCAGTCACATTTATTAGGAAGAGGAGGCAGTACAGGCTTTGGCTCAAAATGGCTTCCGTTTTGACCCTGCAATAAATAAAAGTATGTATCAAGGCTTAAGGTCCCAAAAAAAAGAGCAGTTAGCATCAAATCAATTAAAAACTATCAGCACTGAGTCATAAAATCCACGTCATCTAACCCATTATAATTAAAAAACGTACTAGTATGGAAACGACAAAACGCAGAAATAATTCAGTCCCAAAAGAGAAGAAAGTTATGTGTGAAACATAGTTGTAGTATCTAAAAAGCTGCTGCTCATATTAATTATAAATTGCTGGACTAATGGAAGATATAGTATCATCCAGACTGCATAGATGTATTGGAGTCACTCACATAGTCAAATTATACAAAATACAAGCACAGATGACTAGACACTGAATTAAACACCTTTAACAATGTAAATTAAAAGGATATCTCAATATGATTCAAAATTGTAGCAACATGAACATTGTCAGACTAAAGAAGATTAAAAAACCATAAAAATGAAAAACTTACAAAAGACAATCCACCATATGATTTTAACAACTCGATCATACTATGCTTCTTAGCCCCTTCTGCATCAGCTAGTGGCTGCCATGAACAGATTCAAGTTAAAATAAATTATCAGAAAAGTTGTAAATCATAATTAAAAAAATAAAATATGACTACATGAAATCTCCATAAACCAAGCATATAGTAACCGAGGCCTCTTAAAATATGGTGAAAGATAAACAGAAACTATGTAATTAAGAGTCGGGCAAACAGAAATATATGGTGGAGACAGGATCAAATACGATCCACGGCGATTTTTTTTTAACAATTATGTGTAGCAATTTAAAAGAATTGTATTTTAGTCTTCTGCAACGAAATCTGGAACAGTTCCAGCTCTGCTCCATAGAATTTGTTTTCCTTGGGTTTGCTGCATAACATTCAGCAGTGGACCAAACTTGGTGTTTGTGCCTCATGAAACAGTCAACTAATCTAGAAGGCCTCATCATGATGGACTAGAATTGACCAGAACAACCTGATCTAGACTGAATGAACAAAGCTGGAAAATAAAAGACTTTTCAAATTTTTAATATAAAAAACCACTCACTGCAAATTTGCAAACACAGAATATTCAATCAACTATTCCCAAAGGTATGACCATTTCCAATCAACAGAATTGTTAATTTTAATAGAATTATTAATGAGCTATATGCTTTCATTATTTCACTGACTATAGGAACTATCTAGCACACAAGCTCATATCATAAACTGATCAAAAGTTGAGTAATACAAACAACTCTCTGCAATTTAATATGCTACTCTACACTATTTTCTAATTTAATAGCTTCTACTGGTTGTATGAATGCGACATGTGCCCGCCATTCTTTAACTTTTTTTTTGCAAACATCTACTGCTCATGCAGTTTAGCTTCCATCATATTATCCATACCCAACTCATCTGTTATTGACATGACTTATTTAGGAAAAACTTGCAGATAAGTTTTTTTTTTTTGGCAAAGGACCCAGGAGGACTCAGCCCTAAAAGCTAGCTGTTAGAGGGAGAACCCAAATCCCTTACAAACCCACATCAAACTTCCAGTATAGCCAATGTGGCTGATACGGGACAGAATCGACCCTAACAGGTTTCCATTAAAAATTTCAACTTTCTAAGTTACCAATGAAAAGAAAAAAAAAATGATCTTGGTGGGTGTTTATTTTGAATAGATATCTGTCAAATCATACTATTATCTCATCCCATCACACAAGCATTTCATCAAACACTTCCAGCGCATGCAAAAAAAAAAAAAGCAAATCAAGGCTCACAATCCAACAACCGTACCGTGTTCTTCCACCGATCCTGAGCATTGACATCGGCCCCAAACTCGAGCAAACACTTGGCGACGTCGATCCAACCGTGGAGCGACGCCACGTGAAGCGGCGTCCTGCTGTCGTAATCCCTCGCGTTGACGAGCTCCCGATCCTCACCGAGCAGCTTTCTCACCGCCGCAGCGTCGTTCTGATGCGTGTGCCACAGGATAAGCGAGGTCCTGCTAACCCTAGCCTTCTCCTTCTTCTTGTCCGTCGACGTCGACGAATT